TTTAAAGCTCAACAGCTACATGAAATTCTAAACATCGAATGAATATTAATATTCAGTTCTTTTTTTGTTTTTGGCAGTGCGCATGCGCGTCGTTACTTCTACGTAAGAAGAAAATTGTTACTTGACGGGAACATCCCGCCCCCCGTTGGATGTTAGTCCAACATCATCCGGTAGTGGAAGTATGTTAGAGATGGCTCGGCGAAAAGTTCCTCTAGCTGTTTTGACGTCAACCACTCTGACAAGATTGTCTTCTCCAGGATAAGTTTTCACAATTCTAGCCAGATTCCACTGCATTGCTGTCTTACTAGGATCTTTAAGAAGGACTAGTTGATCAACTTTCAGATTTTCTTGTTGACAAGTCCATTTCGAACGTGTTTGTAGTTGACTCAGGTATTCATGGCTCCATCTATTCCAAACGCTGTCTTTCAGACCTTGAATCAGGCTCCACCTAGAAGAAAGAGAAAAAGAATCTGGAGCAGTATGATGTTCAGGAAATGACATAATCGGAGCTCCAACTATAAAGTGTCCTGGTGTCAACGGCTGCAGATCGTTAGGGTCTGATGACATGGGCGAAAGTGGGCGTGAGTTGAGAATACTTTCGATCTGCACTACGAGCGTAGTCAATTCTTCAAAATTTAGTAAGTTAGATTTTGTGGCTTTCAAGAGTATTCTCTTCATGGATTTAATATTAGCTTCCCACAGACTACGTAAGAAGAAAATTGTAACTTGACGGGAACAAGTATTTCGAGTGTTTGAAATGAGAGCGAAAGACTATTTTTTTTCCTAGGACCATCAGTAAAATGCATTTTGGTTTAAACATTTTAATTTTCCTTCAATTTTATTGTTCTTAAATTTGCTCCAATGTTGAATAGAATACATATTTATATGCCTTCCATGTGTCATTAATTCTTTCAAGCTGATACTAAAATAATTGCAAATAAATAAAGTAAACAATTGTAAAAAAGAAAAATGATAAGTGCTAATGTTTATAGTATGCTTTTCGGTGAGTCATCAATAAAGATCTTTATTTTCTTTGCTTATAAAATTTATCATATAACAGAATTAAATTATTTGTAGAGTGTTTCCTATTCAAATCTTGCAAACTCAACTGCTTTCTAAACAAGTTCATAGGTCATAGGGGACACCACTGTAAGTAGGATGGAAAGAAACTTTGAAAAATACACATGATAATAAATAATGATCACAGAGGAACGTTCTCAAGTATTATTCGTTGATGATAAGACATAACTTTGTATCACAATGTGAACATTCAAAAATTTACGCTAAAATAAACATTTCTAAATTACATAAAAGGGCAATCAAATGAAAACATCTTTAAAGCAGCAATTTATTTTTTTATCATTAAAAGATAATTAATAGCAACGTTCATATTCTGAAAGACGAAACGATCAAAGCCAATCTCATTGAAAGAAGTAGACCACTGACAAATCCACAACCTCATCCACTCCAGAACTTCAGCACCCAAATAAAACCGAAACAGAAAGGCATGTGTTACATTTAAAAAAATTTAATAATATCGCTCATGGGCTGCAATAGCGGCACAACTAAAAAAAATCAAGTTTTGAGATAAATGGGCTTAAAGTTTTCACCACTAAGCAAAATGCATAAGAAATACTTTCGTTAGCTTAAATGAAGATTACCTTCAAGTTGAATTATGAGTTGTGCAAGTACTATTGCTGCTGAAAGAATGTGTATTTTCATATTTACACCTGCCGTGCTTTTTGCAAAACGCGTGCCACTATTGCAGCCCATGAGCGATATGTAACATTTTAAAAAAAATAATATAATAATATGTTACATTTTAAAAAATATATAATATGGTGCAAATTGAGTAAATTATTTTATGTATTATTATAATGCATTAAATGAATGATTAGTGACGAGATGGTTTCGAAAATTATGTAAATATATATACATCATAATAAAAATATTATACTATTTTGGAATTGAACGAAATAGTATTTTGTATTTTGATATAGTCATTGAGTGAAAAAACAGACAATTATTTATTTCAAGTAAACAAATTAAGGCCGGAAATAGGATCAAGAGTAATTAAATTAAGGGGAATGTGAACATTAAGGAAAAATGGTAGTACAATGTTATCGTAGGATTAAAAATAACTCAATAGGTTCTAAAGGTCACAAAGTATGAGGTTTGGAGATAAATTGGTATCACCGAATTTGGAATAAGGGTGAAAACTAAAATTAATCAAAATCATAGATAAAAGATAAATAAGACAATGACTTGCTATATCCAGATACAAGCTTAGCATTTAACACGGTGAGATGATGTTTCCAACTAAATAAACGAACGCATGCCCAAACGAGAAAATGACAAAATGTACTCACCACATGCACGAGACACTGAAGGAAAGGAAATACATCAAAATAAATGAAAAATGCTGATTCAGCACAATTTTTTTTTTAAATTGTTGAATTATATTATTTTATATCACACACGGCCATAAACTTTACAACAGCTATTTTCATTAGGATTGGAATAGATTAAAATACTCAAACAAAGAACCGATCCTGAAATTAAGAAGCATTTTTACAAAAACCTGAAATACTTCAAGAAATGTGTGACATGAGTAAGAAATTTTCAAAGAAAACTTATATTTTTTTTTCTGTTTATTTGCAAATTTTTTCCGGTGTGTTCTGGATGTTCCTTCTTTAAAAAAAAAAAAAAAAGGAGATACCGTTTTGTTTTCGCTTGCATAAGAAAGAATGTCAAGCATTTTTCTTTTTTAAATTTAATAGGCTACAATAAAGAAAGAACGTTACAATGCTGCACGCTACATTAAAGACGTCTCCAGAGCAACTGAATGACTGTTCATATGGAAATCGCAGGTATTCGTCTCATACGACAACGACCCTTATAGTTCGTTGCGATTGCGAATTTACTAGAATGAAATTCCTGGATGCACTAGAGAAACTAATTTCATATTATAAACTGACATTATTGCACGAAAAATTTTTTACACTTAAGTCTTTTTTACATTAAACTAAAACTATTAAATATATTTCTTACAATTACGTAGTTATATACAAATTAAATTTCGGATTTTTTAGAATTTACTTGGTTAAGCCAGTTAACCTATCTCGTTAATACAACGTGGATTGACAGTTGAAATTCATTATTTATGGTTTTTTGAGGAAAAGAATATTAAAAAAATATTTACAGACGTTTGGCTTTCAAATTTTATAGATGTGAGAAGAGAGAGAAAGTTATAAAATAAATGGTAATATATTATAGATCAGATAATATTAATATTATCGTTAAACTTATTTTAATTTATTTATTTATTTATTTCTTCATTAAAGAGTTTTATAGGAATTAGAATTGCAACTTATAACTGTAAATAATTTAATAATTATCAAAACGTCAAATGATATTTCAAAAAATAAATAATAATGATTATTTCTTCCAACATTGTGTGAAATGAAAAAACATCTGCAGAAATGATTTGACTATCTGCTCTATTATTTATGTTTCTTTAGATCCTTTTTTAATGTAAACTAAGATTTTTTTCCCATTCAGAATGCATAATTAAGATTAATTCATATTACATAACTTAATATTCGCAACAACTAGATGCTACACTATTAAAATTTTAAGTAGAAGTTACAGTTATATTTCACAGTGTTATCCATTAAAAAAGAATATTTGAATTAAGTTTTAACAGTATTACAGGTAGACAGAAATAGACAGCTGGATACGGACTATGGTTGAATCTTTAATGTTTTTATTATATATTTTTCAGTTTTCACGTCTCTTTTTGACGTATCAAAAGCGATGGATTCGTGTAATACGGATAAACAAGTTTTCGCAAGAAAATCTTATTTAACTAGAGATTATCGTGATCTATCAGGAAAACGTTTTGTGTGCAACGTATGTGGTAAACCTTTCACAACGAGATCTAATTTAAAACAGCACTATCTTATTCACACTGGAGAGAAGCGTTATTCTTGTAATAAATGTGATAAAACTTTCAGATCAAAATCGAATTTAAAACAACACTATGCTATTCATACTGGAGAGAATTATTTATGTAGTGTGTGTGATAAATCTTTCACATCAGGATATTATTTAAAACAACACAGTCTAATTCATACTGAAGAGAAGTCTTATTCATGTAGTGTATGTGATAAAACTTTCCTACACAAATGTAGTTTAATCCAACATCGGTTTGTTCATACTGGGGAAAAGCCTTATTCATGCAGTGTGTGTAATAAAAGATTCACTAAAAAAGCTCGGTTAAGCCAACACAATAATATTCATACTGGTGAGAAGCCTTATTCTTGCAATATTTGTAATAAAACTTTTATGCAAAAGGAATATTTAAATAAACATAGCCGTGTTCATATGCAGGCGAAGCAATATTCATGTGATGTGTGTAATAAATCTTTTAGAACGAGTTGTAATTTGAATCGACACATTCTAACTCATACTGGAGAGAAGCCCTTTTTATGTGATTTGTGTGATAAATCTTTTGCGCGAAAAGAGTATTTAACCAAGCATTATCGTATTCATTTGGAAGATAAGCCTCATTCTGAAGAGGAGACGTTTTGTACTGTTTCTGATAAATCTTTCAAAATAGAATCAGACTTAAATAAACAACATCTAGATTATTCTGGTGAGGAATCTTAATTCTTGTAATGTCTCTGATAATTCCTTCAAAATAGAATCAGACTTAAATAAACAACATCTAGATTATTCTGGTGAGGAATTTTAATTCTTGTAATGTGTCTGATAATTCTTTAAAAATCGAAACAGATTTATATAAACATCCAGATTATTCTGGTAAGAAATTAATTCTTGTAATGTGTCTGATAATTCTTTCAAAGCAAAAACAGATTTATATTAACAACATCTAGATTATTCTGGTGAGGGTGTTAGTTTTTTTAATGTGTCTATAGTTTGTCTAAGGTAAAAACTTCCCTCGAACCAAAATCTGAGGCTGTCTGCTGTTATGGAAACAAGAATAGCGCATTTCAGGAGGGGCAGCTTCTCTAGGGCTAACAGAATAGACCAAAGAAAAAGATTCCAGCCAAAACCTATTCTAAAAAATGACCCCACGCCCCTTTGAAATAGTTATACCTCGTTACCATAGTCATCGCCACAGGCCTAGACGAATGGTTAGGGGAGCTCTTACATTAGACAAACTATAAATATTCTTTCAAAATGAACAACATCAAGATCATTCTGGTGAAAAGTCTAATTCTTCTAATGTGTCTAATAAATCTTTCAAAAGGGAATGGAATTTAAGTAAGCAATATTGAAATTATTCTGGTATGGGGTATAATTCTTAAAAATGATTTTAATAATAGTTAAAAACTGAATCAGGATTTAAGTAAGCAACATCTAGATCATTCTAGTAACTAGTTTAGCTCCTGTAATGTACCTGATAATTCTTTTAAAACAAAATCAAATTTAAATAAACAATGTTTTGATTATTCTGATGAAGAGACTTAATCTTATTTTGTGTCTGATAATTCTTTCAAAACTAAGATTAGATTTAAATAAACTTATATGTTATTCTGGAGGGAATTCTTCTTCCAAAACGGATCCAGGTGATGAGAATCCTTATTCATGTTGTGTGTGAAAGAAAGTGTTCAAAGCTGAATCTAGTTTAGATTAACATAATCTTATCCATTCTAACAATGAGGTAAATCCTGGCCTTGTGTAACAAATAAAACTCGTTTAAGTAAACTCGGATTAATTAATTTGAAAGAGTTATAGGTTATGTAGCATGTATGGAATAAAAGATGTTTTAACTAAAAATAATTCAAAAATATTTAATTTATTTATTCAAATTGCAAATTTAGTTCGTGTAGTGTGTTGCAAAAAATATATTTAACTCTGGTGTGAAAATTTCCTGTGTCTATCCTGCAAGACAAAATTTTTTCAACTTAAAAAAACTAAAATCCAAGTTTTTCTTAAACATCCAGTATTTCCAAAATTTTGTACAATTGTAGCTAAAAGCTTATTTTCCTCAATTATCATATTACACTCAGTTGTCAGATCCTGTTAAATAATTTTTTTTTTTTTTAATTTTACAATCAATTCTTCATTTTTTTCAACAAGAGTAAATTTTTCTTCTTAAAATTTTCGATTGATTATATAGTATTTCCTTATATGGGTCATTCTCACGAAAACTGTCATTTTTCAGTTCATAAAATCCCAAAAAAGTAAAGTGAATANGTAAGGTGAACATCTTTCAAAAAAGAAAGAAAAATCCTAAAATCTTATGACCAAAAAAAATTTTTTTTTTAAGAATGGCGGGAAAATTCATTGAATTTCGTTCCGGTTTTTTGGTTTTCCGGATAACGGGTTCTGTACTGTAATAACATGCATTGAAATGATAGGTGTAACCAAAACTGTTTTACTCTGCATCTTCATATTTATTGATTTTAAATTCAAAAAACAGGATAAAGAAAGAGTTGAAGCAATAAAATAGCTGAGCAAAAAAAAAAAATATTTTCTGCAGAATTATATTCTGAAGATAATTTTCTTGTTCATCAGAAAGGAAAGAAATACTCCTAATTTTTCTATTCTCATTTCAGAATTAAAAAAATTTGCCAATGACTAGCTTGCTTAAGCTAGAATTTTAAATTGATAAAATAATAATAATTCTGAAATCACAAAAGTTTAAAACATATGTGGTGTAACTACCACTACGAAAATTAAACATTAATTCACTGGTATCTAAGACATGCTAACTTGATTCAATCATGAGGTACCTTTTGATAGATGAAGGTTGGCATGGTCATTAGCTCCTCCCCCACACATACTTCACTCTAGAAATGATATTTTTTCTTTTATTTTTTGAACGAACACCATAATTTTTAAAGAACATGATAAAAACATTTCATATTTTAATAAAATATGACTCTGAGTGGGGATTTTGTTACAAATTCAGATATTCGGAACACCATGATATTGGGGGGGGGGCAGAGGAATCCCGTTCTGAAAATAAAATTTTTCGGCGACCTAAATCCATGACTTTTCATGATTTTTTTTTAAAAAATAGTTCAAATCATGACAAATTTTGTTCAATACCGAAATTCATGACTTTCCAGGTGTGCGGATACCCTGTAAATAAGCAATATGTAGATCATTCTAGTAACGAGTCTAGTTACTGTATTGCCTCTGGTAATTCTTTTAAAACAAAATCAAATTTTAATAAACAATATTTTGATTATTCTGATAAAGAGACTTACTCTTATTTTGTGCCTGATAATTCTTTCAAAACTAAGATTAGATTTAAATAAACTTATATGTCATTCTGGAGGGAATTCTTCTTCCAAAGCGGATCCAGGTTTAAATATATACAAACTTGTTCATTCGGATGAGAATCCTTATTCGTGTAGTGTGTGAAAGAAAGTGTTCAAAGCTAAACCTTGTTCAGATGAACATAATCTTATCCATTCTAACAATGAGGTAAATCCTGGCCTTGTAGAACAAATAAAACTCATTTTAATTCATTTGAAAGAGTTATAGGTTATATAGCGTGTATGCAATAAAAGATGTTTTAACTAAAAATAATTCAAAAGTATTTAATTTATTTATTCAAATTACAAATTTAGTTCGTGTAGTATGTTGCAAAAAATATACTATTTAACTCTGGTGTGAAAATTTCCTGTGTCTATCTTGCAAGACAAAATTTTTTCAACTTAAAAAACCTTAAATGCAAGTTTTTCTTAAAAATACAGTTTTTCCAAAATTTTGTACAATTGTAGTTAAAAGTTTATTTTCCTCAATATCATATTACACTCCATTGTCAGAACATTTTCAATCATTTTTTTAAAAATTTTGTATTCAATTCCTCATTTTTTTCAACAGGAGTAAATTTTTTTTCTTAAAATTTTCGATTTATTAAGTATTTCCTTGTATATATTTTGTTATTAGACATTTATTTATTAATAATATAGTAATGCTGCCATTTTTATATTCTGGGATCAATGAAACCATCAAGAATCATTTTATTATTTTTATTGCACTTTATTATGGTTATAATTTATGTAACTATAATTCACCATATAATTATTAATATTGTGATTAAGTATTATTATTATACCTGGAAGTAAACTTGAAATACTTCTGGACGTTTATGGGTTAATGTTCTATCATGCATATTGTGGGTGTTTGGTTTTTGTTTCCAAAAAGTAATTTTTTTCTTAAAAATTTTGATTGTTATATAGCCTTTACCCTCATATGTTATGGGACATTATTTGTTTTTAAGTTTTTGAAAATCTTTGTCTGTTGAATTAGTATAATTATTGTTTTTGTATAGTTTTAATTTATTTTGTGATAGTATGGCAAAGTTTGAAATAAAATATGATTTTTTTTATTTAAGCTTTTTTATAACATAAAAAAACTTTATTACATAAATAGACTTTAACACTAAACATACAGTAACCAGTCAAAAGACCAGTTATTGTTTGATGTATTGATAAGTGTTAATATGATAATATATTATGTTAGTGTTAAATATGCTAACGAAAGATATGCTGGATACTCTATAAAATATCATTAAAGAAGACATTCCACTAATAAAAATAGTTTAACATTTTTTTTTTTTTTTGCCATCATTCCCTTATTTATGGCAAATAGATACTTCCAAATCCTTCTCCATTTTATTAAAATTTATGCAATTTTTAAAATATTTTTTTCCCATAGACAAATTTGTTAATAAGTTTGTTTAATGTTATGAATTTAGATTTTATGCAGTAGACTTTATTTTTTAAACTTGCTAATTATAAAAGCAAAATATTTTCATTTTAAAAATATTGCTAAAATAGTAGCTGAATATTTTTTACTTTGTATCTATTTAAAAATTTCTTTAAGATGAGGGTGCTCTTAAAGAAAATGTAGGGGAAGAAATTCGCACAAAAACTTTAAAAAAAATTTTTAATATTGTTGGTTTTATAATAAATTGACATATATTCATATACGTTTAAGTTTTAAATATATATGATAAACATACTTAACGTTAAATTTTTAAACTTTAAAAACCTTCACATGCATAATTTGTGANGTTTTTGTTTCCAAAAAGTAATTTTTTTCTTAAAAATTTTGATTGTTATATAGCCTTTACCCTCATATGTTATTAGACATTATTTGTTTTTAAGTTTTTGAAAATCTTTGTCTGTTGAATTAGTATAATTATTGTTTTTGTATAGTTTTAATTTATTTTGTGATAGTATGGCAAAGTTTGAAATAAAATATGATTTTTTCTATTTAAGTTTTTTTATAACATAAAAAAACTTTTATTACATAAATAGACTTTAACACTAAACATACCGTAACAAGTCAAAAGACTGGTTATTGTTTGTTGTATTCTTAAGTGTTAATATGATAATATATTGTATGATTTGTGATAATCATCCTGGCTTTTAATGTTTTTAAATTGACATTTTTTGCTTCAGCTCTATATCTAAAATACATTGAAAATCTTTTTCATTTGTTTAGTGATGTAATTAATGCTGCTTTTGTATATTTTTATTGTTATTGGTTATTATGGTGCAATAATAAAACTATCATTGCTTTGTTGTCTAGATCTATTCTTCTTTCAAGGGGCCATTCTAATATCACGTAAGTTTCTAAAAATTGAATTCCATGCCAACTGAAACCAGTATTAAGTTTTATAAAGTTTAAGTAGTTTTTGGTATTTTAAAAGAAATTTGTTGTAATTTATTAATTCAGGAATTATTATTAGGAGTTATGTATGATTATAGTAAAATTTATAATAAACAGAACATTTCATAATTCTGACTATGTATTTTAAAGAAAAAGTTATTAAAAATGTTACGATTTTACATATTATTTGATTTATATTCTAGAATAAATTGTTCCTGAGTCTGTGCAGTGATTGCCTTCAAAGAAAAAGTTTTTTTCAGTAAAAAATTATCCCAAATGCATAGTATTTGTCTCCTCTAAAATACTCAGATGGTGTTGATTTTTCATACAAGTGTAATATAGATTTTTCTAATCTGCCAATCAATTGCATCATCAATTACATCAATACATAATTTGCCATCAATTACATCGGACAGTGTGCCTTCATTTAAAAATCGGACACATTCTTTGCTACTGTTTTTTGATCCAGTAATGCAACTTGACAGGCTCTTGTAAACTTTTCAGGAATTGATTTCACAAACTGCTTAAAAAAGGAATTCTTACATTTTTCACACATCCAATTAGGCGATTGTCTCAATCAATTGGCATTTTTTTGCCACAAGACGCTGAAAATGTGCAGTTGATTGAGTAGAAGGTACCACAAAGAGGGTTATGCATTGAGGAATGATGGCTGAAAGATGGAATCCCTTACCCAGGGATGAGAGTGGTCAGAAAGTAAAAAAGAGGAAATCCAAGAATATATATATATACAAAAAAGGTGCGACTTTTAAACTTGTAAGCCATGTGATTATAAATTCCGATGATTAATTTTAAAATTGCATGAATATGAATCACACGCATGATTTCAAATTGAGAGAATATGAATCTCGATATGAGGCTTTTAAATCACGTGAATATGAAACTCTATATTGAATTTTAAAAAATGCGAAAATACAAATCATGAAGCGTAATTTTTAGATCACGTAAACAGGAATCACGATGCATAATTTTTAAATCGCGTGAATACAAATCGCAATGTCTAATTTTTAAAGCACGTATAAATACGAAAATCGATGTTTGATATTACAACCGCACAAACGAATCACGACATTGGATTTTAAGCTGGCGTGAATACGAATCGCTACATCGGGTTTTTAAAAGCACATAAATACAAATCGCGATATTGGATTTTTAAATCTCGTAAATAAGAATCGCAATGTACGATATTTAAGTCGCCTGAATAAGAATCGCAATGCACAACTTTTAAATCAGGCAAATACGAAAATCGACGATTGATATTAAAATCGCGTGGATAAGAATCGAGATATTTGCAGATTCTGGACTTGGGATTTCTAAAAGGCTTGTTTGTATTGTCTTTGTTTAGACATAAAAAATAAACATTTACAAGATTAATTGAATAAGCAAATATTTTCACCGCAAATCCACCTCTATTTTTTTTTTTTTTTTCACTCCAGAATACAAGAAGCCGATCGTAGTNTACGAGCTGTCGAGCGGACGAATAAAAATATGAAAAATCTTATTTTCTGTGCGTAAAAGCGGAGAAAATAGCTAAAATAAGTAAAAATACAAAAGGGTTAGCAGCTAGGACGTAGTTTGAATTTTCTGTTTACCTTTGAAAATCGTAAATAAATATAACTATTTTATTTCAACGTCTGAATTCTCAAAAAAAAAAAAAGCGGGATATTTATAAAAAAACGAAACTTTTAGAGAATCGGAATTTTTGATAAAAAAAAAGGCTGAAATTCGAAAGGCAAAAGCGAAAAAATCTCATCCCTGTATAAAGGTAAACCGGTTTTTTCAAAGGAAATGATTTTTAGAGAGACTTCAATACTTTCGCTCCGTGGAAAATGAAATTCTTCATAAAATATTTTAACTTGCTCCAAAAAGAATTTCCGCGGAAATTAGCGGGAAAAATCTGAAAAAAAGCACGAATCGGCGGAAGAATCACATCCCTGCTTACCAAATGATGCTGAAAGTGCAAAATCCATTGTCCAAGAGGATATTGAAAAGGATGTTGCTGCATTTGAAGAAAATATGTTAAGTATAAAAAATATGACAAATTCATTGCGTAAGAGTTCTAAAAAATACCTTATTTCTTTTGCATCCATCACTAAAGAATTTAACTTTAAAAATACCACTATGAGTGAATCTACAGAAATTCCAGGTTCTTCCTCTGTTGCTGTAGCTCTCTTGGTAATTTTGCAAGTATTAAAGTGTAAGGAAAAATAGAGGAGATGTTTTTGTTAACACAGTCTGGTGGATTGAAAACATTCAAATACAACTACAAAGATGTATGGATTCACATTTCAGATGTTATAGCAGTGCTACCAAGTTCACTTTAAACAACCTAAGTGTCACTTTTGACTGTGATATTTGTAACTATTTGTAAGACTGTTACATTGCATTATTTGGAAAATGTGATTGCCATTTAAAAAGTCTTATAATTTATTCTACCTGAAATATGATAATTTAAAAAAAAAGTACTAATTTTTAAGATGGACCAAATCGCAGAATTTAGCGTAAATAACAGTGCATTTAAAAAATGTGGGATTATATTTGCCCCCTCTACTACAAGCACTTTTAATTAATTTGCAATAAAATTATGAGGCTCTTTTATTATTTTATACCAATTAATTAAAAGTTGCACCTTAAACAAACATTCTTGCGGAAAAAAAGTTTTTTTTTAGATATATTTAATATATTTTTTAGAATAAAATACTCATGTGGCAAATCTTAAAATAACTTAAGAGTCAATTTTTCTACTCCTCCTTTCCATTTTAGAAATAAGTTTTTTTTTATATTATAGAATGTTTCAGGCATTAGTGTCTAGCATATCTAAAACAATGGGAAGACTATCATATTTCAACTGAAATAATTGGAAAACATAACAAAAGTTAAGAAATAGTATAATTTTATTTAATAACATAATTTTTAGTATAAACAACAATAAGCAAATCCAAATAAACAAATCAACTGTTATTTATATATAATTTATTCATAGTAATTGGGATTATAGTATATAAACTACTAATTAAACTGTATATTACAACCAAAATTTGAATAAATATCTACTATTTTTTTACAATGCTTTAAAACAACAGCATAAAATAATAACTACAGTTACTTATTCAATAATTTCTTTTCAAATTTCATTTGAAATTAATTTTAAGAAACACTGGAAAAGCATTTTTTTTAAAAATGTCGCTCAAAATTGGTAAAAGACACTTAAATTTTCTTTTAATCAAAGAACAAGCGCTTCTTGTATACTGTGTGTACCTAATAAAGAATTCATAAAAATATAAATTTGATGTGTTTTTTTTTTCTTTCTTTCTAATAATGTCCAGTTCCGTGAACTACAGAAATCAGTTGTTTTTGTCCTTTGTATCCAAATTTCTTCAATTAAAGAGTGACATAATGGAGTCACTCCTCAAATGGTGACACCCTTCAGGAAAGCAATGTTCTTATCTCTTTATGAAGATGACACAAGAAATCTACGTAAGATACACTTCCGTCTGTGGTTCTATCTTCAACTAGGTGTTGCCTGAATAATAATTCCAGTCTATCACCTTGTCGAACTATAAATAGCTGAAAAATAAAAGAAAAATATTGATTACGATTTGTTTTTCATTTCGTCTTGCCAGGGTTTCCCAAAACTGTGGAACATAAAAATAAGGTTATTTTTCCCATTGAACTTGTTAGAAATATTAGTAAATTCTATTTATGAGTATACTTCATCTTACATTGAAATATTTCACGAATTTGTTCATGCAATATATATATATATATAATAATACAATAAAGAAAATCATAAATATGATATGTTAATTGTTAAATAATTATAAACATTTCAGTTTTCACCTGTGGATTAAACATAAATTGTTAGAGATTTATTTCTGTAAATGATAATTTATTATTCAATATTTAATAATTGAGTCATGTTCATGAAGTAACTTGAAACATTTTTACTATATAAAAAATATTTTAAAAAAATTTTTGCATTACAAAATATTGGCAATCTGTTTTTGTGAGTAACTTCATCAGAATTTAAATTATAATAAAAAAATATTATTTAAATATTTATAATATGAAATTAAAAAATTATATCTAGTATTCAATAAAGGGTGCATTTTTTGTTAAAAAAAGGAGGCAATGAATTTTTAAAGTTGAGCACATTTTAAATAAATTACAACAGATTTCTTTATACAAAAATACTGAAAATAATTTATTATAGTAAAACTAATTTTAGGGAGAAAAAAATTTTTAGTGTAAAAATAATACAATATTTTTATAACTAAAATTTTTAAGAATTATACCAGTATGATATATTTTCCTCAAAAATAAAGTATCCTAACATTGAACAATTAACCAATTTTTGAAATAAGAAAACAAATGTGAGTAATAACATAAAAAACATTTAGATGTATCAAAATGAGAGAGTCACTAAGCATCTGAATGGGAAGAAAAAAAAAATTTAAATGTCTAATAGAATCCAGAATCCAATGATAACAATCTAGAATAATAAGGATGTGATAATATAGAAATGTTAATGGGTGACACATTAGTTGGCATATAACTAAAACCATTAAAAAAAAAGCTATAAATAAGTTAATAGATTTAATGCTTCAGTAGCCAAAATATAGGATTGAATAATGCAGGTGATGTGTTTGGCGTTTTTGAGCCATTTTTTACCAGAACTTTTTTTTAATAATTTTTGACCATCATTATCAATGACAAGTTTTTATTTTGTTTTAAATGCAGCCCAAACAATTGTAAAAGGAAAACAAAATTGAAATTTTAACACTGCTGGAGCATTTCTGGTGGGTTATAGCTAAAAATGCTTCTTTTTGATTATGTTGGAGCAGTTTTGACAAAATTTTCAGGAAAATGTTATTTTAGAACAGTAACTGCTTGGCAGCAATCACAAAAATTTAAGTAATACAAAAGAAAATATTTTTTTTTTATGAAAAATAGTTATAAAACTACAGAGAAAATATTAATAAAAACTATGTAAAAAAAAAAGAACTACTTACTTTCATTTGCCTATGTCTTTCACTTTGAATCTGCTTTATTACCATGTCAACGCACTGAGAAATAGGATTATTCAATGGTAGAAGACAGGGCTAAAAATTAAGTTTTAAAAAAAATCATTGAAAAATATTAAAATACAGAAACCTGTCTTGTAAATCTAAAATTCTATTTAGAACAAATTAATTTTCATTGTAGAAATTCTTAATACTATAACATAGATTATCAATATAAATAAAAGACTAACAGAACCTTAGAAATTGTACTGATTTATTTCTTCTCATAGGCAACAATGATTTAATTACATAAAAAGAATTATATCTCAAAATGTAAGTAGTAATTTACACAAAAATAACTCAATGAAAGAAGTTTAATTATTGTGTCACAATGTAACTAAATAAAACATTTTTTCCTCTCTATTTAAAACAAACATCCAGAGATGCACAGCCATTTTAAGGCAGACCATAAAAAACTACAAAATAGAATCAAAAACTGCAACCATAAAATTAAAAACTGTAAAATAGTGTTGAGGGTCAACATTATAAAAAGGGAGGGATTGTTCAGACTCGGTTTGAAAGTAATATGAATAAGTTACAAATGTATAATATATTAAGAAAAGAATTCAAAATAATTAAAGCAATTAAAAATAATACTTCCAGTGGAAAAACGCACTAAGCAACTGAAAATCCAAAAGGAATTGAAACAAAATAAACAATGAAAAAAAATGTATAAATATGGCAACCGAAGCTGACATCTTCAGAGGGTACCAGCTCTGGAAGCCAAAAAAGCAAAACCTTTTCTATCGAGAAAGCACGACAAATGTCTAAATTGCTCTCTCTGTACCCTAAAGGTTTGGCCAAAGTCTAGGAAGAGAATACAATATAAAATACATAAAGCAAATACAGAAGTATAAAAAAATACTTCTGTATTTGCTTTTTATTTTATTTTCTGTATTTTATACTGCTGATAATTTCTGTATCTTATACCTTTGATACAATATAAATAACATAAAGCAAATACAAAAGTATAAAAATATACATCTGTATTTGCTTTGTATTTTATTTTCTGTATTTTATACTGCTGATAATTTCTGTATCTTATACTTTTGTATTTGCTTTATGTATTTTGTATTGTATTCTCTTCCTAGACTTTGGCAAAACCTTTGGGGTACAGAGAGAGCAATTTAGACATTTGTCGGGCTCTCTCTCTTTTGCTTTTATGGCTTCTGGATCTGGTAACCCCTGACGACGCCAGCTTCGGTTGTCATATTTATACATTTTTTCATTATTTCTTTTGTTACAAATGTATAATTAATATTTTTCTTGTGCAGATAATAAATTTATAGGCATATAACAATATATATGACTTAAATTTTCGGAGATTGGTATATGATAGCAAACACAGGGTGGTAGATCCCATGTCAATTATTGAATTCGGAGTTTCAGTTAAAATTATGTAAATATATCAAGGACTGATGCTACACGCATGATTAAAAACGTTCATAATTTTGATTCCAACTGTAATCGTGATTACATAACCAATAACTGTAATTTTATGGAATTGGTCTAATTGGGATGGACCTCTTGGGGATTAGAAACAACAACATAACTGTAATTAATTACTTGTAATCGTGATTACATCATAATATATGATTACATGTAATCATGATTACATGAATCATGTAATCACGATTACGTGAATCATAATATATGATTTCATGTAATCATAATTACTCGTACTCGTTTTTTTTTGTGATTACTTGGAATCATGATTACAGTTGTAATCAAAATTTTGTTGAATTGTAATGAAGATTACAAGTAATTGATTACTGTGATCAATTATTGTAATCACGATTACAGGTAATTTATTACTGTAATCAACTATGTAATCAAAGTTGTAATCACGATTATAAGTAATTGATTACTGTAAGTGTTTGTTGTAATCACGATTACAGCTGTAATCAAAATTATGTTACCTTGTAATCATGATTACAAGTAATTGATTACTGTAATCGAAAAATGCAATTGATTACATTTTTGGCCAACTCTGTTATGCAATGTGCTCATTTAAATAAATTCATTTTAATGGAGATGCTCACTTTTTCCACATCTATATGAGCAACAGAAGGTTTTCCAAATATGTTTTGAATCCACGTAGAGTCTGCATTCATTCCAATCCATATGAACAAATTCAAGCCATTTTCTATAACAGAAATGTCAAATAAAAAATAAAGTAACTGTACAACACAGATAATTTTAAATCAGTAAAAATAAAGAACATTTTTCAATCTTATTTGTTTAAGGCATCTTACCTAATAAATAGATACCATGATCTTTTAACCTTTCTAAAGAGCATCTAACACTAACTGGAAGTTCACATTGCTCAGGATTTGGTTGCATTTCATGCTGCAAACAAAAAATAATGTACATTGTTTTTAAAAAAAAGAGAAAGAATATTTCTTTATTAAAATTGAGGAAGACAGTTCTAGAGAGAAAAGATAATTACCAAAGGTATAAGCCTAGGATATAAGTAAGCAGCCGAAGACTCAACATCCATACTTAATGCAGTAAGCATAATGAAACTTCGATCATCAGTAGTCATTTCTTGTCCTACATTAAAAATTAAAGGTATGGACATTTAACTATAAACAAAAAATTTATAAAATAAGTTCTTTAATTTGCTCCGCACTAAACAGTTTAAGAAATTATTTTAATGCAATTTCTGGAAGCTTACAATGCGTAAAAAATGCTAAAATTTATACATTTTAAAATTTTCAGGAGGTTTCTCTCATTGGACTCAACTTTGCTATAACTATTACATGTGTCCAAAGCAGTTCACGTCAGTCTTTTAAATTGCAAACGAAAAGTCGAAAATATCAGATAATGTCACTATCAAACTATAGGTTTAAGTCTAATATAAATTTTTTTAGAAGTAATTGAAATGAAAAATGGAAGTAAAATTTATGGGTAGGCATGTACTTTATTTTCGTCGCATTAGCTGCACAATGGGATATTGGCGATGGTTTAGGAAACAATTCTGAGAATGAATTGAAGACATGCAATCTGCAATCATAACTTAGATCTTTTGCCGAGGGGGATGACTCTTCTATTCAGGTAGCCAGACGACTCACGCAAATAAACTTACAAATGTAAGAAAAACAGGACACTCGTCAATCATATAAAAGTAACAAGAAGGCTCACTGAACTGATTTCTACCATCCAAAGGGACATTAGTTTAATGGTCCTGGCCAACTCTGGCATAAAATTCTCTAGGTCATACTTAATAATCTTTACTAAAAGCTTTTTTTCTTTTTATGTAAAAGTATCTTAAATATGACTATTATATCTTACTTCTATTAATATTATATGGAATACTCACCACCCGATAAGGCATCACACTTGATTAAACAATTGATATAGAGAGGAAGTAGTTTCATACATTCTGGAAGAATGAGCTGTCCCGCCGATGATGCTTGAGCACAATTTTTCCTATAGCAAGCTAATATTTGAGCAGCTCGGGTGATCAGATAGTCTTTTATTTGTTTAGGAGCTTCTTCAGTGATTTTTTGAACACCTAACAACGAGAGGAAATCCTCAGATGTTAAAACTGCATTCAACAAAGTCTTTAAGGCCATTACTTAAAATTAATTAGATTCAGAAACGAAATAGTCTAAAACTTTTCAATCACTCATGTGAAGAAAAAAAATTAAAATAAATAAATAGAGGTTAAAACCAAAAATTGTCTAATGGTACAGATCTCTGATTTTGCCATAACATTTTAAGCTTAGAGATTTTATTCCAAATAGGTGTATTGTTTGAGTATAGCTGAGCTGAAAAATTTCTACTCCTCTATCAACTTCAATGAGTCAACCAATCAAATTGCTTGATAACATAGCCACTCAGGTCATATGTCAGCTTACTGAAGTCAGATATACTAAGAACTCAACCACTGTAGTCTTTGCTTAAACAATAAGTAAACACATAAATTAAGATACACAAGTCCAAAGACAAACACATTGATTAATAGGGCATAAAATTTAGTATGCAAACACATCAAATGAAATACAAAATGTAATAAACACATTAATCTTACTAACACATCTTAACACATTATAAATGCATTAATTAATTGTCTTTCTTAAAAACTTAAGATTTAATAAGGTTTTAATTGATAAGTTTTCTAATTTTAAACTTAAGGAAATAAAATTATTTAGAAAAAAAAATTTCAGAGTGCTTAGCAGAAAACCTTCAGAAAATTTAAAACTAATAGATATCAAGTATGATAGGTAACCTGTGTTATTAATTTTTTAACTCTATTTATTGAAATACAGTAAAAACTCATTTTGAGAAATATTAAAACAGAAATATGTCACCATAAAGAACCTGTTATAAATCAAAAAAAATATGCATTAAAAAAAATAGGAAGGAAGAAAGAAAATAGATATGACATATTTGTGCTCCCACTTTTTATATTGAAATGTTTTTATTATAGATTCTGATTTGTAATAAAAGTACAAGATATAGGAAAAAGACATGTTGAAACTCAGCAATCATGGGAAACAATGTACTCTTGTCAAATTTATACATAAATATAATTTCAACATAATACATAAATATAATTTTAAACAATGTATTATGTATTTAATAATTAAATATTTGCAATTAAAAAAAGTGCAACTTAAAATAACTTACTTTCTTTGAGGAAGAAATTCAAAATGGTATCTAATTCACAATTTCTAAATAGATCTGCCATCTGTGCACAGGTATTTAGGCCTAAATTGTGTACTCTTAATCTCCTTTGCCCAGAGCAACTGGTGTAAAGTACAGCGCATTGTATGCAAACGCCATCTTCTTCTGTAAGCTTATCATCATATTTTATTTCAATAGCAAGGGAGCTATCACAACTAATCGAGGCAAGTTCTACGTCCGTGGTGTTTGACATGAAGAAACTGCCATAGAAATCTGTTGGACGGACACCTAAAGAATAATTTGTCAGAGTAGATTAGTCACTATGTTCGATCAACATAATTCAGCTAAAATTAAATACTTTGAAAAAAAATAAAGTTAAAAAAAAAGAGAGAATTTGTACTATAATTTAATAATTTATTACGAGGATTAGAAAATTAATAGGAGAGAACACCTAAAAAGTTAATAGGAAAATTCAAAATACATTTGAAAATAGACACATGAAACAACAAGTTCAAAACAGTTGTTTGTCTTTTAATTATTTTTTCAGGCTTATTACATTATTTTCAGCATTAGTGTACTGATTTGAAAGAAGTGAATACTTAAAACAATTAATGTAATGAAACTTTTCAAACTCCATACCTGCCAACACTAGAGGAATAAAATAGCTGAGATTTTGCTGCAACATTTTTTAGGCTACGACTAAAATATTGATAGATCGTGCATAATCATGTAAGTCAAAAAGAGAAATTCAAAATTGGAAATAACATAAACACTTACATTTTAGTGAAGTAAAATATGCATATATATCTTAATCTAAAAAGGATTTTTTTTAAACCATTATTTATAATTACTTAAACTATTAACACTCAACATACTGCAGTACTGGCAATAGCATCATCTGTTGAGGAATAAGAGAAGTATTTTTGCCATCAGCCGATATCGGCAAAATTTTTGCTTTAAAATTTCTTCAACAGATACGAAGAAATTGGATAATATACAGGTAAACAAGAGACTTGGCAGGTATGAAACTCTCTATAGAATAGGAATTCTAATTTTTGTACTTTTATAAATAAATAGAAAATTATACAAAAACTAGACACTAAATGACAAATCATAAGCTCATTACTTTAGTGTTTCGGTCCATTAAAAAATTTTATTGGCAAAGCTAAAAATTCTCGTGCATGAATTTTAAGAAATGCTCTTTATTTCTATTTTTTGCATTTATCAGAGATAAAAATACTTACGTTCAAAAATTTAAAAGCATTTCATAATTAAAAAGATTAACATTCATTTTTAACTCATATATTAATGCACTAACTTTTCAGTAATAAATATTTAAAAAATTTATATAATTTTCAATTTCTTATACAAGATTGCACCTTTTTTTTTACAAAATTTTATCTGTTACAATAAGATTTTCACAATAAGGTTTCAAGAACTAGTTCATTCTTTAACACTACTGATTTGAAATTTTAATCATTTTGTTTTAAAATTTATGCTTGTTAAGAAGAAACATAACTTCTTTTTTAAATAGCAAGAGAAATATTTGGATGACCATATACAAAGACAAAAATAGTGATATGCATACAACAGTCATAAGGCTAAATTAAAAAGGAATAGATTATTTCAAATTAGAAAAACAGAATCATCAAAAGGTTTAATCAAACAAAGAAAAGAAAATAATCATTTTAAATGCAGAAAACATAATAGAATTTCATTCACTAATTAAGTCAATAATTTTATTAAAAAAATTTTACTTAATCAAATGCATCAAGATATATATTTACCAGTGCTGGTTCTCACTCTCAACACAGCATCAAAGGCAATGGGTCTCTCAACATCTCTGCACAAATCTTCAATAAATCGTTCACCATCAATATCAGCCTGTACATAAAGTTTTGATGAAATAGGACTATTTACTCATGCAATGTTTTGGTAAATACAAAGAAAAAAAAAATTAGTATTAGGCCTGGTCGATGTTAAGATTTTGACACTGCACTGTATTGTCAGTCTGACATTGCGATATTTCCAATACATTGCGATGTTTCGTTACATTAATGTCTTACATTTGGTATTGCATTATTTGAATTCTTGCTTTTTATTTTTGATTGATTGATTAAGGCAGTTATATTCTTGTAATTAACTCAAATATAACAGAGAGGGAAAAAAATAAAAGTTGCATAACCTGGGAAAGTGGAGAATGAAATGGATGGATAATTTTGGTGATCTAGAAAAACATTAATATCACAACTCAACTGACAATGAAAAAATAAGAAGAGAATTTTTATTTTTGTGCAAAAAAATTTCTGTCTTCTTAGAAATGTTTATTTTTTTGTTTTGAGAATAAAATCTGTAAGAAATCGAATCTATCAGGTAAATCGATACATTCTTATTAAATATAGCTTCTAATTCTTTTCATTCCTTAAGTTTCTTTAGGTAATCACAAAATTGCTTTCGTCCCCCTAAAAAACAAACATATTTAAAAGAGTTCTTTTAAACCCAGAACAGAATCTATTGGTTACAATTTTCTTTGAGATTAAAAAAGAAATTGAAAAATGCAGACAAACATTTCTGTTAAAAATTTCTGAGGAAACAATTAAATGGATCGAATTTAAAGTGCAATGAGACAATTTTTAACAATGCTCCCATCTGCATTTAAAACTTAGCATACTTATAACATATTATACATGTTACGCAGCAGCACAGAATTTAAAAGAACAAATATAGAGTAATATAATAAATATAAATATGAAAATAAATATAAATATGAATCCATACAGCACAGTAAAATGTCTTTATGGAGACGAAATCCCATTCAATTTACTAAATATTTTGAGATTTTAATGTGTCGTTATCAGGTCTTATGATTACTTCTTGCAGTGCCAATTCTAACAGTAGAGTCTAGATATTATGGATTACATGACATCAAATAATAACTATATGCTGTGTGCGGAAAAAGTGTGCACTTGTCATTTAAAAATGAATCTGCAAAGTTGTCTCCAGGAGTTTCTGCTCCATGCATATTTGTTAAGTTTTAATTTCTCTATTCTTTTCCTTAATAAATGCTTCATAAAAATTTAAAAAATTAGAATGGTGTCATCATTATACAAAAGGAGTAATTAAATGAGACTGCAAATAAAAATCTGACAGACTAAAATTGAAATTTAACTATTTTCGATATTATGGTCAAAAAAGTAACTTGGCAGCAAAGCATTACATATATATTTCATTTATCTCATTTACTTGTGAAATCTTCTTTTCTTTATTAATTGGTACAAATTGATTAGTAGAATTTCACAGGATACTTTGAACCCATTACATAAAAATATCATTCAGAACGAAATGATCACATTCTGGTACGTTGTGAAAAGCTTCAAATTAGATCAGTACACAGAGATCTGTTATAAAGCATGATGGTAAAAATTTCTGTTACTTTTTCATTTTTATTAATGCTTTAGACAGTACAGGAGACAAGTTAAAAGGTTTTTGGGGCAGCTTTCGACCTTGACCATAAGTTGCACATTTCTGATATTAAGGATTAAATTAATCATCAAGAAAGTTTACAAACCTGGAAATATGTATATTTAAATAGGTTTCCACCAGTAAGTCGGCACACTTGACCCAGAGTGGCAACATCAACGTAAGCATTATTAAAAAGGAATAAATCAACAGAGCATCCAGCCTTTACACACTCTTGACCTAAGTTATTGTAGAAGGGGGATTGAGGGGAAAGAATCGTCTGAAATCCAAAATAACATACATCAAACATTATATTAACAATATAGATTCATCATTATAGGGCAGGATAATAAAATATACCTTTTCTTTCTCAGTTCCTAATAATTTTCTGTCATCCCTATTTTTCAGCTTACCAGGAGCTTCAGCTATTGGTAAGGAAGTATGGAATGCAAATAATTTTCCAGCACATTCCGCAGCCTGTTAAACAAGATATAATTCTAGATTTATCAGTTAAAAAAGATATTAATACTATTGATACACTAAAGAAGCAGAAATTATGTAAAAGACACAAAAAAAAAAGTACTGACTTTAGGCAAGGCAAATAAAAAAGTATAATTTTATTAAGTCGCTAACATAATGGTATAAGCCATCATCATGAGTTTTGGCCTTCAGTAGAAAAATTCTGATGGCTGATTCGTGTTCTCTCTAAGCGTTATTAGAAGGATGGCCCACCCTGGCTGCCTTTTGATCCCTCTAAATACGCCCACTTTGCCTTTTTGTAAAAATACGCCACCATCTCTTAAAAAGACTGCTTTTTTATTCATATTCCATTTTTATGAAAAATTAATTAACTGTTAAAATAATAATTACATACAAAAATTATTTGTGTTTATAGGTTTAATTTTGATTACTATTACAGGATTATTTATTACAGGATTATACCTTGTTAGGATTATTCTTAACACTGGTTAAATACTTTCTTCGAGAGGGTATATTGATAAATTTATAAGTGATTGTAAACTTTAAAATTATTTTTTAAATAAATACCTTTTTCAAAAAAAATACACCTTTAAATGTTTATTTTTTAGCTATAGAAAAACTTTTAGGCTGTTTATCAAAAAATATTTTTCTAGTTTACTTTTTTTTTTGAAAAAAAAAATGTATACACAGAGAATGTCTCTTAACATGCCTCTAATTATTATTTATAAACTACAAATTTTTCTCTTACTTCGATAATGAGTGAAAATTACTTTTAGAATTATACACATAAAACAAAACCTCAAAATAGTTGTAGAAATAAAAACTCTCACACAAATTGCAAGTCCAGAAGACATAATTGTTTTATGGTGGTCAGGGTCATATTTTTGAAGCTTTGGGTTAACCCAGTGGTCGGCGAAGTGCGGCTCCAGAGCTGCATGTGGCTCTTTAGCTCCTTAAGTGCGGCTCTATCACAAATATCCACGGAAGGCGCAATAATATTTTCATTTAAAAAAAAACTTGGTAAGAAAAAAATTATATCTTATTTTGATAAATTAAAATTCTTCTATAAATCCCGAACATGTATAATTTTTTGTTTAAGTTAAAAGATGGATAGGTATTTAAAATTTTATGTTGTTGTAAAAATACGTAACGAATATCGAGTTTAATTTTATTAGTTTTCGTAAATGTTAGCACAAACCATGTACACCTACTGGCTGAAATTGTTCGCATGTTTACGGCGTACTCCGGTGTGATACGATGGTACCACAAGCATGAGCGCGCATACTTTTTCTAAAATAGGGGGCATTGTTCGCATTAATAAATATTTATTAAGTTTTAAATTTAGTTTTATTTAGTGTACTACTTATTTAGTGTAATAAAAGTTTACTAAACAAGCAGATTTGGCTCCCAATTTTTTAAAAAATTGTTGTAATGTTGTTCATTTTGGCTCTTTGGCTAATAAGTTTGCCGACCACTGGGTTAACCAACCACTAATTTTGAGCTCTGACAGTTTTATTAATATTAAATATTATTATTATGATATCTATTAATACATATAAAATACTATGGAGTAATTTGAGTAAGATGAAAGAAAATATGAATTTCCTTAAACAATGATTAAAAAAAGAGCAATAGAATTTTAAATAATTTGGACTTTTTACTTTTAAAGATTCAAGGCCAGCCTGGATAGCAGGTCCAAAAACAGTTTCTGTTTCTTTTGTTTCAGCAAACATCACAGGTATCTGTTCTAATAAGCTGAAAAGAAAATAATAAATTGAAGCTACTTACTAAGATTTCTTTCAAACATTTAGACTTTAATTTTTTCTTTATAGACAGAACATCTAAGTTTTACAGCATAAACATTGAAAATAAACCTTTATGTTTTTGTTTTAGTCATGATTTTGGTTAGGACACTGCTACCTAATTAATGAGATATTTTGAGAGAGTCAACAATGAAATTTTCGGTCTAAACTATCAGCAAAAAATTTATTATTTGCAATCAATTCACGATTATGCACAATTCTGATTAAGTAGTTATTAGTTGCAACCAAATCTCATTGTTCTCAAAATAATTTTTTCTTCTTCCTTTTTGAAAAAAAAAAAAATTTAATAACTTAGTACTAGAAGGTGAAACAACTATTTTGATTGTATTAACTGATCAATTGATGTTGTTGTTGTCACTTATCTCTAAAGGTCTGACCCCGTCAGATCCATAAATCCGATGACGAGTAAAAAGTCGGAAACAGGGAGAGAAGTGTAAATTTTTTCCCAAAGAAATCCCAAGCAGCTTAAAATATGTTCAGCTAAAGTCTGATGTTGGTGGCATTTTGGGCAAAAACGGTAGGATTTTATACCCTGAGAAAAAGTAAGACATTTTAGACGTCCACTGGAAGGCGTGAAAAGCAAGTATTGTCTTTTCCCTCGCATGGAAGGATCGACGACTGTCCCGGCTCTATACCAATCATGAGTGGGAGGCACCAGCCAAATCCTCCTATTTAAGTTTTTATCTGAAAAAAAAGTTCTAGGTAGGAAAGTTCATCAGATGCAGAAGTTGGCAGGCAGCAATCGTCCTTTGCTAGATATTCTGCCTTCTCGTTACCAAATAGATCCACTGGAAATGAATATCATGCTGAAGTGAGGTGCACTTCAACTTGTGAAGGATAGATATACTAGTCTTATCACCAATATAGATCCAATTATAAAGATGTTCCACTAAACTTCGGCTATCAGTCCAGAATCCAGAGATTTCCATAATCACTTTCCCTCAAAATGGCTTCAAATCCTGCATCCACTGTCAGTAATTCACTTCTAAAAATGGAACAGAAGTCTAGGTTACGCTGACTAAGAGTAAAAGTTTTGTGAGGCGTTTCAATATAAATGCCACTACCTTGACTGTCAGTTTTACAGTCATCGGTTTATAATTTAATGTCACTTTCAGGGATATTATTTATGATGATCAATTGATAAAACAAAAACTTACGCTTCAGCAACAAAGTATGTACCAACCACGAATTAATAAAAAAAAAATCAGGAATATATATAAAACTAAACAATCTTAATACAATAAAAAAAGCTGCTTCTACATGGGTACATCTAAGTTTTAGTTAATTAGTCTAGGAAGGCCTTAATAAGCCAAAGAATTATTCCATTATAAATTACAATATGTTTAAAGCACAGTTATTTCTTATACATATAGGTAATGTTTATTACATTAATTTTAATAAAATTAGTAAAATATTTTAGTAGAATTTATGACAAGTAGAATTGCATACAATTTTTCTCAAACAAAAAAAATTAAGTTTGAATACAAAATATGTGAACTTTCTCAAAATAGAAAAAACAAATGCAACCAAACCTGGAAATAACTTGCTCAGATTCAGAAGGTTGCACTAAAAAGCCATCAAGCAAGGGCATAAACATGTCATTAACATCTGACACAACAAGCATTTGAGGCTGTGCTAAATTACTCTAAAATAAACAATTTTTAAAATCAAGCTAATTTAATCGCTGAAAAATATTTTCACACAATATAAAACCAAAAAATGCATATTTAATAAAAACATATCACTAAATCCATTCAAAATTAAAGTGCTTATTCTCTCATGTAATACTTACACTTATGTTATAGAAATGTATAACTGAGCTGTAAGTAATAAATCCAACTCTTAAGTTTGATTCTGATGCACCATAATCTCTAAAACAACAAAAAATATACATAAATATTTTATAAAAAGAAAAATAGTTCAAAAGAAAAATAGTTCAAATATTATGAAAGGGCATACCTAGGTAATCTCGAAAGTATCTTTTTCATATTACCACATAATGTTTTGACCATACCACTCTTAACACTATTATAAGAGACATCAATGACAAAGACAAATGCTGGACAGTTTGGAAGTTTTCCATCCTATGAATAAGAAGAAAAAAAATTCTTAGTAACATAGAAATCATTTAGATGAAAAGTATTACAAGCAAATAGAACATTCTAGCAAACACAAAAAATTAATATTTTCACTAAAATAAAGCATAAAATACTTTATAAATAAAATAAAAAAATAGTATGAATATTAAAATATTAAAATTAATTTGTTGTCTTCATTTTCCACCAATTTTGAAGCAGGTTTGGCAAAAATAATTTTCTAACAAGTGGAAAAAAATCAATTGGAAAAAAAATCTTTTTTTCTTCTTAAATCAGATTTTTATTCTTTATTTTTACACAAACCAATCAAAAAATCTGATAAAATATATTAATACTTCATAATATTAAAAAACAATGTCCTTAGTATTGCTAACTAAAATGGTTATTCATGCTAGTGGAAAGTTATAATTTCATGTCACTTAAATTTCGTCTTTTATTCCTTTAAGTTTTTTAATCTATTTCGAATATCAAATAATAATTTACATGTATCTTTATCATTACTTTATCATTATTCTTCTTCTTAAGACCTTCATTATTAATGAAATTAGATTATAGAAGTATCACAACTATTACAGTTACAAATTATCCAAAATAAAAAATAGTTTTGCCTTAAATCATTGATTCATTTTACAAAAAAATCAAGTCATTAAAACCACACCAACCCTAAACATTAGTGCTGGTTATTACCAAACTTCCAACTAGTGGCTTTCTGAATGAAAGAAAGAAAAAAGAAAAAAAAAAACACAGTTTTCTATGTTAATCAAAAAGAGAATGAGCGAAAGGAAAGGGGAAATTTCCATACAAATTTAACCAGGGGATCAATGTTTTGTGAACTTAAAGTACTCAGAATTAAAAGCATATATCAAATCATAAAAAGTATGCAGAAGTTTTACCTTAAGTATATTTCAATGTGCATAGGTTAAGTATATTTAAATTACTTATGCCTGAGTGTTTGGAAAACAGGTAACCTGAAAGCTAGCTTATAGAAAGTTTTTCAATTATCTTTCGGAAAAAAAAATTTTTGTTTAATTTTCATCTTACCTACAATATATTTTTAATTGATTTATTGTTGTATAAGTAAATGTAAAACGTCAATCTTTTCCAATTGTTGAATTGGAAGCAATTAAAATATGTAACACTGACCTACATAATGAGTGCCATCTAGTAAAGAATTCTGGTCAATACAAAAATTGATGTCTGATAATCATGTGAATATGAATTGCAATATTGTCGGATTCCGGCATAGTTTCAAATATTAAAAATGATGAAAAACCAACAAAGCAAAAAAAATTTCAGAATTGCAGAAGAGTCAAGTGTGAAAACGAAATTTAGCGAAGGTTTCAAAATTTAAATTTTAGATTGTAGAGCTTAAACTTTACATTTTAGATTGTGGTGAAAATTTTGCTGGATTATAAGTTTTGATTTAAGGAAGTCCACGAATTAATGGTCTTCGATTAATTCGTAATGAACGAATTCCGCAAAAAATCATATTCCCTGCCCTTAGTTTATAGACTTGGAGGGATGATACAAAAAACACAGAATACAATCACCCCTGTTGCATACAAACAAAAAAAAGTAGAATTGTGATAATAAATTGTCAATAATTATTACCAGAACAGCTAAGAATTTTTATGTATTTCGGACAAATTAAAATTTCTGCTAATTTTAAAATCCTCTGGAGATGATTTGAAAGATCGAAAACATTTTAAGGATGAAAAAGTGATCTCTATTTCACTTCTCTTTTCCGATTTGGGAAGCATCATTATTTAATACATTTATGGACAATATGGTTCTAGCAGTTAAATGTGACAATGATAGTTCAACTCACATTTTCAAACTATTCGAGAATATGTTAAATGAAATTAATATAAATTTCCGTCAAAGAGGGATGATATAAATAGTATTTTAATAGAGAGAATACTGTTAAACGCTCAAAATGGTTATAACAGATGCAACAATTGAAAAAGAGTTTTATACAATAGAAAGTATTGAAAAAGATAAAGTAATAGTGATTTTTTAGTCTTTTCCAATGCTGTAGAATCGTGTCAAGGTTGGATACAATATAAAATTTATATATTTTTTTAGTTCACCTAAGCAAATTTTTGCAGTTGTTTCCCCAGCCTTTTTGATCAATAAATTTTACACTTTTTTTTAAAATAAATGTTTGACATTATAATAAAAATAATTTTTACAAACATCAGCAAAGATTTACGTTTTTAGTTACAAATCTTGAACTTATTCAGTAGATGTATTTCCCCATAAATGCAAATTTTTTACTAATTTAGAAGTTCATAAAAGATGATTAAAAAATCTAAAAAAAATCTTCTGCAGCATTAAGGTATTATTTTACAAATATAAAAGATAATTACCTTACAATAATCTTTGTTCACAAGAAATTCATAAGATCCTAAACACAACTCAGCCCTTTCTAGTTTATCGACTCTTTCCCCCATGTGATCTAAATGAGTAAAATAGTGTGCAGGAACTAAAAGAGAAAAAATGAAGTTACGAAATTTCAATTCCCAAAAAGTTTAAAACATATCACTTTTCCTAATAATTTTAAAAGAGGTGAATTAATGCCTTTTAATTTACAAACATATACAACATTTGATTTTGAATGCATGTTGTATATTTTTCTGGAAGAAAAAAAAACGAGAATCTATTTAAGAATTCTTTGCAAGAGTCATTTTAAATCAAAATCAGATATATATATATACATGTGTGTGTGTAATAAAAGCTTGATATAACGAGTATGGCATATGGCAAGAAGTCAGTTATCTGGACAAATGTCCAATTCTTCCTTAAAACTCCAGTATCAAAGATTAAAAATTACAAGCTTTCTGCTATCACAACAAAAAAAATTTTAAGGGAAATACATTTTTTGCTGTTTAAGTGAAAATTTACATCAAAAGCCTTACAACAAATTTTTACATTGAAAGCCTTTTCATTTATTTCTGGCATCAAGAAAAAAGTGAAAATGTTTATTTCATCATTTTTTAGTCCTTTTTTTTTCCTATTTTAACATTAAATGTGCATTTGCATATTACAAGGTTGCAATAACAATTTCCTATTCTCTTATTCACCTTATTCTCGACCACGTTTCATGTTCTCCACGGTAGGAGGTAGTATTTGCAGAGGTTGTTTCAACTTCCAGTATAAGATTCAGGTAGAAGAATTTCTGCTGGTGTAAACCAAATAGCGTAAATCCGCATCTTAACGATCATGTAATTGCATATCAATTTAGGATAATTTCCTAAAGTACTTTTTTTTATATCTTAATATGATATTTTAAAATATGAGCACATTTTTTCACAAAAATTAAATTAAGAAAAACTAAGTATTCCGAGTATATACAAACGAATCCTTAGAAAAAGAAATAGTCTCTATAATGCTATGACGTCCGATGAGGACCTCAAGACTTCCGGTAACGTTCATTTGTTTTTTTAGGACAGATGGTGAATAAATTGTCATAATGATGGACTTTTACGAATATGTATAAAGTCTAAAAGTATTTAAAAATATCTGGCTAACAAAAGCATGAATAAAAGAAACAAAACATACCAGATAAATAAAAATTAGATAAATTAAAAATAAAAGTAGGAGGCAATTCGATGGAACATTAGAAAGTTGTTGATTTATGAAGAGATGGTTTTTGTACTGTGAATTTGAGGTTTATACTAACCCGTTACGGGTATTTTTATTTTATTAATTTATGTGTGGTTGATAAATAAATGTGCCTTTTTTTTATTAAAAAAAAAATAACTGTTTCTTAATATAGCTTGATTCATATATACATAATGCACCATTATACCTTCAGTTGTAGTTCTGCATAGCATGCATTGAAATCTCCTGCCAGCATCAATAAACTGCATGAAGGGGCTCATGTAGGCTCTGCACCTATGGCACCTTACAGGACCTTCTTCTCCTGGATTTACAATGGGAGGATGATGCTGCGCACAATATGATTGAAAGAACATTAAATATTATATCAGGCAAAAAAAAAATAATAAAAAATTGTATTAATTCTTTCTTGCAAAAGACAAAGAAAATTCTACAGAATTTTTCTATAATAGGCATTCAATAGGAATATATTCAATAGAACAATAGGAACAAGAACTTACTTCATCAACATGGGGTAGAGCGAGTGGGCTTACTATAAGGGAGAACGGGACATTAGTTTGCTTCAGCATATCAGCAGTTGTAGGCACATTGTAAATAGTAGATCTAATGTATCTAGGACTACAAAAACCTAAAACAAATAAAATATGATATAAACCTACTTGTAAAGTAAAATACATACTGGATGTTTAAAAATGATTGTCTTAAATTTAAATTTTTTTGAATTAACTGCAATGCAGAAGGTGAAAAGAAAATCATACAGGGCATTCAATTAATTTTGAAATCAGAGAGAAAGAAATATGCAGTAGAAATCGGAGGAATCATTATTGAGATCGATCAGAGCAAAAAAAGAGATTAAATTCTTTAAAACCACTTACATCTTAATAATTTATTTAAAACCACCATAATAATTATTAATAAATAACCTTATTAATAAATAACATTAATAATTTATTTTTTTTCAGATTTTAATTTCTTTTTTGATTTGAACAGCCTTGATGAATCTGTTTTGAGCCATAATATTTTACTTTAGCATTAATTAGAAAACCCCCAATATTAATATTTTTTCACTTCATTTACTACAATATTCTGAAAACGACATTTAATTACTGCCTACAGAATACCAATTATTTACACAAATATTGTCAATTATTTAACATAAATATTGCCAAATAAAAAAGGATACCAATTTAAGGAATTTCAGATTTCACTTTAACTAAATTTATACTAATACCAAAAAAATATTTGTTTAATAATACTGTGATATCTACAATTGAAAAATCGAAATTGTGAATATTTCAATTGAAAAATCAAAACAATTATAACATGCTACAAATTATGGAATTTCATAGGAGAGTCGGACAAAAAGTTGCTACTTAATTTTGCATTAGTTTCATGAGATCTGAATGAATGGTATTGCTCCCACATAATATATAAAATTAAAATTACATTTTTTACACCCTTAAGATAGACCTGTGATTACAAAATAGAAGAAAAAGATGAAAAATGCGAGAAAAAGATTGAAATTAAAAAAAGACTATTTTGTGTGCAGCAAATTTAAACACTAGCAATATTTCTGTTTAAATTCTATTTCATGGGGTGTTAAGTAAAAAAATTGACACTATATTAAGAGCAATTTTTAACTTATTACAGCAACATTAATATATCACATTAAAAACACAGCGTTTGAAAATTTATGTTATCGAAATTAAAAGGCAGAAAAGTATTAAAATTAACTTTACATAATTTACAAAAAGCTTAAAATAATATTTTTAAATTTAAGATTGACAGAGCAGAAAATATAGCATATTTTTTGTAGCTAAGCTTCAATTAAATAAGATTATACTACTATGTAAAAGAAAGTATTAAAATAAATAGAAAACAAATCATTTACAAAACAGACCATAAAAATCTCAGTTCAATTGACATACTATAATTGTTTGAGTGATCAACTAATAAGCTGCATTGAAAAATATAAATTAGCAGTACAGCATCTGATCTCATATTTTTATCAATATCTTTGGCTTTAGCATTTTATTTCACAATTTTTTAAACCTTAAAAAGAAATTCGAAAAAAAGTTTCTGCTATACATTTTGAAAAGTGTAGAATAGGAACTTATATAAACGTTATTTTTTTTAAACATCATTGAATCAGAAACAAAAATATTTCTCTTAAAGAAATATTAGAAAAAGAAGAAAAGTAGAGAAAGAAGTAGAATCTTATGCCCACAAAGATTATTTTTACTCTTACTAAAACTTTTAAGAGTTGTAACCAATCTAGTGCTTGAAATACTCACTCAGCAATCCTGCTATTAGTATTATTAATTCAAGAGAGTTCAACTTTTAATATTGCTCTGCATAAACAAGGGAAAATAATTCAGAATTATTTAAAAAAACAAGTTCTGTTGATAAAGTTTAAAGGTTACAGATATTAAGATTAATACAAGTGATTACTCTAACAATAAATTTGATAAAGGTTTTTTTAAATTTTTCAGACAGTTATTTCAAGAAAAAAAGTTATTCACATGCACCATAAAAATAAATGGTATAAGCTAGAAAAATTTATAAGAAATTTTAACAATTTAAATGCATCAACAAATTTTTAGATCTAAAGTTTGAATATTATCTTTTCAATCGTGGTGTTGATCATTATAAAACTAAAATACAGATGGTGCTATGAAATCAATCATGAAGGGAAAAAAAAACTGTTTCACGTCTTGTCATAAGAATAAAATTTGCCTATTCAAAAAATTCAAGAAAAAAATGTTTTACCATCATCTGTAACAGTAAAATTGGTTGTTACTAGAGGAGGTACCAGCCCCCTTTGGGCAGTAGAAAATGGACAACTTCTTGTCTTCTGATCATCTTCAATAACTTGAATCTAAGAAAAAAAAATATTTTCAATGATTAGTGAAAATATATCGTATTTGCTATAAATAAACTGTTTGGATTACTGATTATATAGATATTCTACTTAAATGGTTAGTTAATAAAATGCTATTCATTAAATATTTTAATTAGAAGCTATATAACATCTTCATAAATCTGTAAATAATGCTGTTTTTAATAAAATCAAATGGTTTTAACCCAAAATTATAGTGCAACAATACTACGAAGATTAAACAAAAATAAATAAAACTTATTTTTAAAAAAAAGACGTTAATTAAAAATAAGTTCATTTTAACCAGATTCAATTTATATTGCCGAAAATTACTTTCCTGACTGCTATATCAGCGACAAATCACAACACTGACATGATCACTGTGTCGATATCTGCGTCTTAATTAAACTAAATTTCAAATTAAAGCTATTCTCTTAAAAAATATAAATATTCTATATTAGTTTAGAATATAATAAGTTATGAAAGTAACATAGAATCTTTTTAAAAAGCTATTTTAAAGCCAACTTAGCAAACAATCAAATTTAACAAAGAATATTTAACATCAAACTAACTTATTTATTTTAACATTTCAAGAAAATACTGAGATAAAAATTCAAGCAAAATATATAAAATTTTGCTCTGATAAACTTTTTTTTTTAAAAAATTATTTAATATACATTATTATTTCTTTAAATAAATTACTCACTAAAAAGCTTGATTACTGCAGAAACTTTAAGAAGCAGTTATAAGACAAACAGTCATGTTAAAATTAAATAAAATCATAACTAATTTCAAATCTACGAGGATCCAATAAAATAAAAAAAATGATAAAATTAAATTAGAATGGAAAAGCTATTTTTATTAAAAAATAAATAACTGATCTGAAAACAATAAAATAAGTCTAAATTTTGAAAATTCAATAATTGCTATAATTTTGTATGCTTTAAATCGATTTTCCATTAGAATTTACAACTTGTAACTTACACATTTTGATATTACAAGCCTTAAAAATTGAGACAATTAAGATATTTTTAAAAAATTAAGACCATACCATAAATTTTAAATAGAAATAACAGATACTATTATACTTTATGTTCATATAGACTCTAAAATCAAACCATAAATACAAATAGATTCAAGTGTTAACTTACTGGACTAGGCATATGGTCTGGATCTAATCTCCTAGTTTGCGCTGGAGGTTGAGGAAGTGAACCTACTCTGTTCTGTGGAGGATAAGAATTATTCTGTGGAGGATAAGAATTATTCTGTTGACCAAACTGAGAACCAGATGTACCCATGTGGTTTCCAGAAGCAGGACTCGGAGATGATGAAGCGGGAGGATAACGTGCATGCATGTTCGAATTTGAATGAGGAGGATACTGATTATTAAGTGCATAAGCCGGGCCATTTTCTGCAGTGCCATTTACATAAGGCGCTGGTTGTCTTTGAGGAGGATACTGTTGATTTGAACTATTATTCATATCAGCACTTGGCATTTTGGGCATAAGAGGTTGATTTAATGCCTCTGAAGAGTGAGGTGGTAATGTTCGTTCTGTATGTTGCATCATATGAGGATATGCAGAGTTGTGAGGTGCAGGGGGCATAGACGTTTCTGGAGGAGGATAAGGAGATGCTCTTGCATTAACAAAAGAGTTTGGGGGCATATTTTTTACATTATTATCAGGGTGGCCACTGGGTGGAGGGGGCATTCTAGGCTGGTTTTGTTGCCAATATTGCTGCTGAGATGGCATGTTAGATCCTTGAGAAAGAGGCAATTGAGGTGCACTATTTGGAAGTCTATGGTTGGGTTGCATGTTAGTTAATAGGGGATGGTTTTGATTTTGTGAAAGGTGTAAAGCATTGAAATCATGAGCCATCTGCGGGAAGGGAAAAAAAAGGCAATTAAAATTATGTTTAACACATTTGGAAAATAAACTACGTATTATTATAACAATGATTGCTTACAAAAAGTGTTATTTTGTTAAAATATAAAATTATTGGATAATTTTTCCATAAATTGTAAATAAAAGTTATTATTTTATGTTATTTTTACATAATATATAAAAAAAATATTTTTTAAATATTTTACAAATGAATACACACATATTGCGGAATATATAATTTGAACACATATATACGGAGTATCTGCTACATTTTAGATTTTTAAATTCCTGACTAATTCCAAGAATTTTTGTTGACTTAGCGAAGTTACCATTTTCTCCGGCAAAAACACAACAATAAATTTAAAGAAGCATTATAACAACATTAATTGAAATGTTAGGTATAACCAAAATTGTTAAACTCTGCATCTTCATATTTATAGATTTTAAATTTAAAAAAGAGGGTAACGAAGGAGTGGAAGCAATAAAATAGCTGAAAAAAACACAAAAGCAAATAATTTTTTTGTCCCTTTTTTCCAAAAGAATTATATTCTAAAGATACTTTTCCTGTTCACCGGAAAGGAAAGAAATACTTATGATTTTTCTGTTCTCACTTCGGAATAAAAAAAATAGCCAATGACTGGCTTGCTTCAGCTAGAATTTGAAATTGATTAAAAAAAATAATAAAAAAATAACAAAGATTCTGAAATCACAGTAGTTTAAAAGATAATTCGCACTAGAAATGATATCTTTTCTTTAATTTTTTGAAAGAACATGATAATACATTTTATCTTTTAATAAAATATGACTGAGTGGGGATTTTGCTACAAATTCAAATATTCGGAACACTTAAAATTCCATTAACTTAAAATTCCATTTCCATTTAAAATTCCATTTCAAAAATTAGATTTTTCGCCGACCTAAATCCATGACTTTCCATGATCTTTTCTAAAAAATAGTTAAAATCATGACATTTCATGACAAATTTTGTTTAATACCGAAATTTATGACTTTCCAGGTGCGCAGATACCCTGTATATAATTTGAAGTGACAGTAATCTTAAATTTTCTATGCAATTTAATTTTAAAATCAAAGATTTTATAACTTAAGTGAAACAAGACCAATTTATACAAAGGATAATCACATAACTTTTTACACAAATATAAATAGCACAGTGCAAATAAAGTGTATATATATCTAAAGTAATAAGTCACACTTTTTGAAGGTGACTATTTTAAATCAAAGGTATCTAACATTTATTTTGAGATAGGTACTTACCTATCTAAACTAGATCTAAAGAATTATCAATCAGTTTTATTATATGTATAAATTTACTTCAAATCAATTAAAAGAAATCCCAAATAGAAACAAAAGCAAGTTTTGATATAAAGTTTTACCAACAGAAAAATAAAGTAGAAATAAATGTCATCTTTGTTGTCTAAAATGTCAGGTAGTGGAGAAATGAAAAATCATACTTATTTGTGTTTTATTTTATAATTTTAGATAAATTTCTTCTACAAAAATCTACTACTGCCTAAGTAGATTTAATAATGTAATTATTAAGATTTAATAATGTATCAAGCCAAGCATAAGAACCACAAACCAACCATAAGAATAAGCTAATCACTTAAAAGCTATTGGCGTCAATTTTAAGAAAAGTTAATTTTTCTCTCACCTGATTATTTATCATATGGCTTGGAGGCACTGAAGCTGATTGCACTTGGGAATTACTTTGGTTACAGTTCTGACCAGGAAAATGGCTCCCAGGGCCATTTTGTGTACCTGCATTGCTATATGGACCTGAAATATTAATTGTTTTCAACACTAAAATTAATTTTAATTGAAATAATTTTTAACAATAAAATATGCTCCAAAATTTATGAGTTCTGCTTTTTTTTTTTTGTGAAGTAGGTCTCCAACTATTTAATTTATTCTAGAAGTGCAGAACATGTCAAATCATACAAACAAAACTTGAGAGAAATTTAGACAGCCCTAGGGAAATTTTCAGTTTATTTTTTATAACAATTGCAGCAAAATTTTTCATTGCAAGAAGATGAAATAATTAAGTTGAATAATAAATAAGAGAAAAAATAATGAAGTTGACCTTCACTGAAAGTTCGGATAAACTTGATCTTCCAGCTAGATTATTTCAGCATTTCATACCACTCATTCATTTTAGAGAATGACTGGCAAATTTTTCTTACACTTTTTTTTCCTTCCCACCAGCAACAACAGAAAGAAAGAGAGGGGGAATTGTACTTCAATCGATCATTGTAAAAGAATATTCGCAGGGCAATTGCAAGCAGGAAATTTGTCAACGGCTTCTTTGGTTGAAAGGCAGAACATATGTTGAGCCTATTATTACATTTTTGCAATTTGTTTTAAACCTGCATTGTTAATTCTTGAAATTATTATTGGTCTCAAATTATGAAAATAGATTGCTACAAAAGATAAAAAGACGAAGAGTAATAATGAAATTTTGGAGAATCAATCCTCAAATAGAATTTTCAAGTTCAAATAATAATATATATATATATATATATATAGGCCACCTTGTCTGATACACTGCACATACCAAAATGAAATGTTTTATATCATAAACTCAGCGAAATAACGGTATTAATGAATGACAAAAAGGAAAAGTTCATTAATAAGAGGTAATAGCTCATAAGTAATAAATAGTTCATTAAGTTTCAAGAATGTTTTAAGGAGAATAACAATGAAAATGTTTTCAGATGAATAACAATGAAAATTGAGATCTATTTACAATTTTATTTTCATTAATAGTTTTTTTTCTTGAAAAAAATCAACAGTCAGTTATTATATTTTGAAAACATTTTTGCAAAACACACAAAAGGAACAATGAAAGTAAATTTGGTTCTTAATATTTCCATTAATGAATTAGCACTTATATGTTTTTTTACATAGTCTTGTAAGTCATTTAACAAAATTTCTCTTTTTTTTTTTGTAATTTATGAAGCTTTACTTTTATATCACACAGATTCTTTGTCTCCGGACACGTATATTTGAGCAAGAGAACAATCACAAACATTTTTCAGTAAAGTTTCAAAAAGAAATTTCTTTCATTCATAAACTCTGATACCAAAACATTACCATTTTATACTCAGCGAATAAAAATGGAACTATTGCTTTTATAATACAAATCATAACTTTTATTAGCAATACAATATCCAAAAAAAAAAAAACATTTATTTTAAAAATTATATGAGATTTTTTGTTATTTTTAAAAAAAACTCAAATGTGCATTATCGAGCAGAGATGGCTCAAGAGATAGAGAGTTCACCTTGCAATGAGGTGAACAGGGTTTGAAACCCAGCGATGGCTGGTCGAATTCCGCATCCGGTTTGCACTGACCACAGTGCTGATGCGAAATATCCTCAGTGGTAGACGGATCATGGATCTGAGTCCCCTTGCCATCAGGCTAAACGAATTTTGTGGTCTTCCTCTCCATGTAAAGCAAATGTGTGTTAGTTCCATCAAAAAAAGTCCTCCAAGGAGGCAAATTTCTCCCAATACTTGTTCTGGGAATTCTCTTGTCTTCTGGATAAGGTTCAAAATTACAAAGCTATGAAGTTGAACATTAGTTGTCGTAAACCCAAATTTGGGACGTCTGTTCAATGACAGTTATAAAATTAAATGCATCCGATTCTTATCAATTCTTTACAAAATCAAATATAAAGAAAAAATCAATCACCTGGTCCTCCACCTTGCATTTCATAGTTGTTATAAGGACTTTGAGGAGAAGGCTGCTTATAGAGTGGCGGCCCAAAAGAGCCAGGAGCACCCACTGGACCCCCGTACTGCGGATTCATGCTGCTCTGAAATATAAATTTTTAAAGCATTCAATCAAAATTAGCAATGAAGAAAATAATTAGCAAATATTCTTATTTATCTATATGGATTTTCACTGAATTCCATTTTTATTTGGGTTCCGGAGAACCCAAAACTCATTGAAAAGTTGGGTCCATCGAAATAAAAATGGGATTCTGAATTAAAAATTTCTTTTAATCAGATTAAAAATTTCTAAAAAAGTCAGTAATGTTATATAAAAGTGCATCATAGAGGAAAATCATTTAAAAAATAATCTTTATATTCAATAAAAATAAAATATAAAAAGCTTATAATGATCAGTGATTACATTTATTTGCTATAAGTGCGTTAAAAACGCCAAAAATTATGAAAAGGCATGAGAAACAAAGATAGCTAGAAGCAAATTTGTAACAAAAATTCAAATTTATTAATAAAAATTTTCTTTTCTTTATTAGCAGATCAAAGAGAAAATTGAAATAATTCTCAATATCATTTTACATAGCTTTTTCTTGAAGCAGGTGAATGATTTCTAATTTTTTTTTTTCCTTTGAAATTATTTTATTTTAAAAATAGAATGTGAAATGTCAATATGAAAGAGTGAATGAAAATGTGAAATAAAACTATGAATAAATATTAATAGATAGATAAAGTGAGAGAGAATTCATATTTTAAATAGGGACCCTTGAGTAAAAAGGGACCGAAATTCTGAAGTCTTCGGTCTTAAAGACCAATAGTTTTCAAAGTTTTTAATGGAATTACTGATTAATAATCTAGTATTTTTTCTTTTCTTTTAATAATTTCCTTATGATACAATAACACTATCTTTCTCTTCATCTTTCTCTTTCAAAATCACAGACATTAATTATTGAGAAAATTCTACAATGTATAAATATACAATACAATTAGTAACATTTTAAAACTTTCTTTTGCAATCATATTGAAAACTAGAAATGAATAAGAAATTTTAAAAAAAAAAAAAGCTGACTAAACAGATTGTTTCGGCAATTAAATAAATGAGCTCGCTTGAAATGCAGGAATTACTATTAATTACATAACAGACATTAAAACGTGCATCAATGGAAAACTATTGCACACAAATTTCCATTAAATTATAAAAATTTCTCAATGTGTAAAAATTTTGCTAACTAAGCAATATTAATTGCTTAATAATACACAAAATTATCATAACTGGAATTATTATACCCATTAGCTTAACACTAGCAAAGTGTGACTAGCAATTTTAACGATATTTCTAACTACTTTTCAACTTATATTAAAAGGTTTCTTTCTAATATGAATTTCTAATAAAATCTATAAAAACGAAATGCTTGAATTTGCTTATTTTAATAAAATATATGATAAAAGCTTAAGTGGTAAAAGGAGTTTATTTTTTCTTGCAAGTAGATACTTTTGAGATTTTGTATGCGTGCGAAAGCATTTTTTAAAAAATTAGCAATATAACTTGATTTTTTGGCTTTACAAGAATAAAAAACACAGAAAGATTTCCGTATTATGATCTACAACAAAATAATTGCCAAGTCTTCACAATTTCTGGGCAATGGCCCACTAGAAACTGAAAAAAAAATAAAGCACAGAAGGGGACCAACTCAAAGGGTTTAAGTCATAGCCACTATCAAGCAAACCTCTGCATGTTTTTTTTTATTTTTTAATTGCCCATTTAAAGCTCATTTCACACCTTGGCCATTGCAGCTAGCCTGATAGGTCACAATATGAAAACAGGGATATTTACGTATCATGATCCGTCATGGCAAATACAATCGCCCAGGTCCAATAGATTTTGAACTTGCAAATTTTACAACAAAAAAAAAAACAAACAAAAAACTTGTATATGTTTGCCAGGGGGTGGTTACAAGTTATACCTGAGTTGGTCCTTCTCAGTGACATTTTTTTTTTCTTCTGTGATGCTTCTTTTTTTTTAAGTTTCTTGCGGGACTGCAGCAGGAAAGTTGCCAAGACTTGACGATTATTCTGCCACACATCCCTATACAGAAATCTCCTAATAACACCCCCCAAAACACTTCAATTTTAAATTATAATGAGCATAAGAGTTAATATTAGATCGAAACATGAAAGTTACTTATCTACAATCTTATCTATGCACTTTGTCATAAACATCCGAAAACAAACAAAAAAAAATTCTTGCAGAAATAATTTAAAATTCTTATAATTCATTTATAACTTTAAAGATAAATTAAGCTTGCAGTTCTTAAAAAAATTAATTTAAAATTTCACATAATAATTCAAACATATCACACATATAGTAAAATATTACAAGTCATTAATTTCAGATAGAAAAGATAAAACATCAAACATAAATAACAAAATAAACAATTGTTTACAAATGCAAAGCAATGGATATTCAGCAAATTTAATTTTAAAATCCGGTTCTTTAATTCCTTCTATGTCACAAATTGGTACGTCACTGCTATAACTGGATTATGTCAACAAAGCTATCACTAGCTTAAACACAACATTTTCTAAGATTATTATTTATTTATTTCTAAAAAATGCTAAATATTCTCCTTTTATTTACAACAATGTTTTTTTAATTGGACAACACAATATGCGATTGATTACTGATTTCATTAAAAATATGACACAATTCATTTCGATAGATAAGTTTTCCTTCTACTTTCAAGTTATTTCCTTGTATTGATTAAGCAATGCTACCACCCAAAGTTTGGCTTGTAAGAAAAATTAAAAGAGAGTCTTCATATGTTTACATATTTTAACTTAATTATGAAAATAAGGAGGAAGAACTACAATAAATGGAGTTCCTCTACAGATAAGGCGAGCGGTTTAAGCGATTTACTTACAAGGCAGTTATTGCGTCTTTATAGTTTATCAGTAAAGAATATTGAATGTTTTAGATACATGGGACAAATATAACGTAAATTTAATTAGTAACGTAAACAAATGTGACCCATAATAATCACAAGAAATACTTCGTGCCACGTAAGGTTGGGATCTGCGCAAACTCAATTTTTTTCACTTTTAATTTTCGAAGACCAAATATATTTAATTAAAAGTAGTGTGAAATATATAAAAAGGAAGGTGGTGGTGTAGTTAAAGAAAATGTTCATAGGTAACGCTCTGAACATTTAATATTTAAATTTTTCCACTAAGAAATGGTTTTAATGAACTTTTAAAAGCCATTTCATATTTAAATAAAATTTTATAAATTTATAAGGAAATTAAAAGCATCTAATAGAGGAAATATGAATTTATGATTTCAAAAATTATGCAAGATGCAGTGTCCTCTAGCGAACATTAAAGGCATGTAATCTCTAGCATTATTCGCATGTTATAAAAATAATTTTTAACCTCTAGAACGACCTGAGCCAACCCAACTTTAATTCGTCTTCGTATAGTCTCTTATGAATTAGTTATGGTTTCATTATTGTGTGTAGTTGGTGTAAGATTTCTAATACATACTACAAATGGATAATATTATTTCGTTCAAGATGTGCCCTCTAATGGATATTATTTCTTTCGTGCATGACTCAGAAATTTAAGTGTAGCTGTCATGGAGGAACCTCATACAACTTCACAGGTAAACATCATTCTGTCAAAATTGCTAGATTGAACATTTGTTTTCCTTTTTCCGTGATTGAAAAATATGCGTCACATAATTTTTTTTCACATAATAATAAATAAATATGATCTTATTTTGTACCGAAAACTATTTATTTATAATATATTACTCGTCGAAATTAAACATTTCATTTTTGTGAGGATTTCACTCTCAAAGAGAGTAACACTTGGTCTGCATACAGCAATACAAATTCCTTTCAATACTAATAATAAAGCCTTATTAAACTTTTTTTTCGTAAATAAATTATATCTCTATTGCAGTGTTCAAGAAAGGACAATTCTTTCAATTTAAATTTGAAAATGTCACTAGAGTATTAAGAGCGTTAAATTTTAGCATGTTTATTCTAATCGTTTTTTTTTTTTTTTTTTTTTAACTATGAATTCTTTTTGAAACAAAATTTGGTTTAAATCTTAAGACTACTAACTACTTGTGATAGAAATTTAATTAGAGTGGTCTAAAGGATCAGTAAGATTAAGGATATTACTAGTCCATATACACATTTTTACTAGGAAGATTTTTGTATAGATATCTATTATTACTTACGGATATTGTATAGATATTGTTACTTACGGGCACTGGCCTGGGTGATATTTATGTATCGTAATCTGAAATAACCAAGGCGTCGAATTGATTTGAAATGGGAAAAATTTAGGAGATTTCTGTATCTTGATCTGTGGCAGAATAATTCAAAGTCTTAGCAACTTCTGGGCAGCAACCCACGAGAAACTAAAAAATATTGCTAAAAGGGCGCGATTAGAAAGGTACGACTCGTAGCCGGCATACTTCTAAAAAAAAAATTTTTAATATTTCCAGTTCAAATTTAATTTGGCACCTAGGCGATTGTAGCTGGCGTGGCAGATCACAATAGGGAAATATCCCCAAAAAATTTTTTAAAAGAGAAACATGTAGAGTTGGCCTAGGGTGGCTATGAGTTATATCGTTAAGGTTGGTCCCTTTCTGTGATGTTCTTTTTAGTATCTTGCAGACAACTGCTAACTTGACAGAATAATCGCCAAGTCTTGGTGATACACTTCTGTCGCAGACCACGATACAGAAATCTTGGCCTGGTCTGTGTGTAACTTTTTTAAAAAAATAACAAAGGAACCAACTCAGAGAATAAAGTTCATAGCTACCTTTTAACCAAACTTCAACACATTTTTGCAGGTTTGAAATCCTAATGGTACCTTGCAGATTTTAGTTGAAGTGGGATATCTAGAGCCGATATAGGAATATCCCATTAACAATGGCCTATTTTTATGTCGAATAGATTTTATTATAAACGTTTATATTGAGAATTTAAATGAAAAATTACTATACAGATAATGTGTGCTATTTTGTGTACAAGAAGAAAAAGGAGACCAAAATATAGCCAAAAATTTAAAAACTCGTTTTCAATAATCTTATCTCAGTATTCCAGAATCAAAGGAACTAATGCTAATTTTGAGCCTTGCACTCTACATAAATCAAAACAGGATAGATAATAAATTGTGTTACCTAATAGTCACAGTTATGTATTGTAGTTTGATCCCAAGATACAGAATTTTGCTTGGGGGTCAAACACATAAAGTGTTTGTAGGAGTGGCGATGGTAACGAAAATAGTTCTATAATTTATTTTTACTCTTAATTTGAAGGGGAGAAAAGTATTAAATTTTTCATCTTCTGAATATTTGAAAAATTAAAAAGAAATCTCTGAACTTATTTTTAGCTAATCTGAATTTAAATTGATGTATGAATTTTTTCTGTAGTTCCATTAAAAATTAGGGGGAAGGGTCTTGTAGAGATTTTTATTATTGAGGAGAACAAAGACTGAGACATGTTTTACCAAGATACCCATATGTTGAGGCCTCTTTTCCTTTTCCTTAAATAGGTAACCTTTTTTATTTAAACTTTGGTTCTAGTTTTTTAAAACACTTAAGTGAGGTTTTTACCATTTGATTTTGTTCCAGGCACAATTTTACAATGCCATTGATTTCATAACCTAGTAGTGCTGTTTATATTTGATGTTTAGCTTTTGGCTTCAGTTTCTTAAAATTAACTTTCATTTGCAAGTGCTGCTGTATGTATGTCTAGTACTTATCTGTTGCTGGAGGGCCATAAAAAGTTTAAATTACTATTGTTACCTAAACTAAATTCAGTGATGCGACAGCTCATAGAGGGCCAAGGCCGCCCATCTCAGTTTTCTTGACCTTTGACTCTGGGGTACAGGAGCATATGTTCCAGAATATTGTTACCAATAGTGCTTACCAACACTCGTAAAAAGCATAATAAACAAGTTAATTTTGCCTTTTCCAATAACAAATTAATATTGTGGTCCCTTCGCAATTATAAAATAGTTAGATTATTAATAACTTGGCAAGAGTTTTTTTTTTTTTTTTTTTTAAATTTCATTTTGATCAGACCATGAATCTTATTCAAAGAACGGTAACAAATCAAAGAAGCAATAAGACAACTCAAAGCAAATTAACTATTTTTATTTTGTACAGAAATAAATAAAATAAGTATTGTATTTATAATTTGGTAAATATGTATATAAAATTTTATGATTTTTTTTCACTAGCACTCATAANCAGACACATAAAGTGTTTGCAGGAGTGGCGATGGTAACTAAAATAGTTCTATAATTTATTTTTACTCTTAATTTAAAGGGGGGAAAATATTAAATTTTTCATCTTCTGAATATTTGAAAAATTAAAGAAATCTCCGAACTTATTTTTAGCTAATCTGAATTTAAATTGATATATGAATTTTTTCTGTAGTTCCATTAAAAATTAGGGGGAAGGGTCTTGTAGAGATTTTTATTATTGAGGAGGACAAAGACTGAGACATGTTTTACCAAGATACCCATATGTTGAGGCCTCTTTTTCTTAAATGGGTAACCTTTTTTATTTAAACTTGGTTTCTAGTTTTTTAAAACTCTTAAGTGAGGTTCTCACCGTTTGATTTTGTTCTAGGCACAATTTTACTATGCCATTCATTTCATAACCTAGCAGTGCTGCTTATATTTGATGTTTAGCTTTTGACTTCAGTTTCTTAAATTTAACTTTCATTCGCAAGTGCTGCTGTATGTGTGTCTACTACTTATCTGTTGCTGGAGGGCCATAAAAATTTTTTAAATTACTATTGTTACCTAAACTAAACTCAGTGATGCGACAGCCCATAGAGGGCCAAGGCCTACTGTGCCGTCTCAGTTTTCTTGACCTTTGGCTCTGGGGTGCAGGAGCATATGTTCTGGAATATTGTTACCAGTAGTGCTTACCAACACTCGCAAAAAGCATAATAAACAAGTTAATTTTACCTTTTCCAATTACAAGTTAATATTGTGGTCCCTTCGCAATTATAAGATAGTTAGATTATTAATAAATTGGCAAGAGTTTTTTTTTTTTTTTTTAAATTTTATTTTGATCAGACCATGAATCTTATTCAAAGAACGGTAACAAATCAAAGAAGCAATAAGACAATTAAAAGCAAATTAACTATTTTTATTTTGTACAGATATAAATAAAATAAGTATTGTACTTATAATTTGGTAAATATGTATATAAAATTTTGTTTTTTTTTTCACTAGCACTCATTAAAAACATAATAAAATAGATAATTTTGTGGTTTCCAATAACAAGTTGCGGTCCTTTTGCGATCGTTGTTAATTTGAGGGAGGTTTTTTTTATTTTCATAATTTTTCATTTTGATTGAAACCTATTTAAATTTTTTGTAACTTTTTGTATGAATTTTTTTTTATTTGAATATTAACTAATTATCAATTGTTATAGAGAAATTTATTTTCTCTCAAGATTTTTATTTTATAAGCATGTGTATGGTTGATGTCATAAAAAAAGGAGAGATTAGATGTTGCTTAACATTTATAGTCTTAACATTAAAACCTAATACAAGAAAATATAAACCATTCTCTATTTGAATTGTTATAAGTCTCATTACAAGTAAAATTATTTCTCATTTATTTCTTCGTATTTTATCTTGGGTTACATACTCTGTATTCCTTTGGGTTTTTTTTTTTTTAAATGCACAATATTTTCAAATCCATGTAATTGTTTATTTCGTTATAATTGACACACAAATAAAATATTTGTTTTTTTGTGAAAAATATTCACTTTTAAGTAAAAAAAATGTCGAATGTGAAGCATTTAAAGTAGTTGGTGAGCGGATTGAGCAGGGAGTAGAACCTTCAAGTTTAAAATGAAGGATACGGAAATATTAGTTTTTTTTCCCAAGGTGTGATATAATTACAGGGTTACCACTCACTGAAAATCACTTAAAATAACAGGGAAAATGCAGTGAATTTTGTTTCTTATTTTTGTCTTTTAAAAAATGGTGATCACTCAAAGCGTTATCTATGGGATATTTAACCATGATATTTCAGCTATACTAAACTATGTAATTTACTATAGCATTATTTAAGTATGTTCAGCTGTTTTTCTA